ACTGCTAATGGGGATAGGAATTCTTTTGAGATGATGGAAGGGAAAGTTTGGAACTAATATAGTGGTGACCGTCAATGTTGTAAATATGCTAAAAACTACTTTAATTTCATACTTTAAAGTGGTTGAAATAGTGAATTTCATGTTATATGACTTAAAAATATATATGTTTTTATTGATTTCAGAGAGCGGAAAGGAGAGGGAGAGAGAGATAGAAACATCAATGATGAAAGAGAATCATTAATCAGCTGCCTCCTGCAGGCCCTCCACTGGGGATCAGCCCCCAACCCGGGCATGTGCCCTGACCAGGAATCGAACCATGACCTCCTGGTTAATGGGTCAATGCTCAACCACTGAGACACATTGGCTAGGCTATGTTATGCGACTTTTATATTCATTTTTAAAAAAGAAGAAATCAGTCCAGCCAGCTTGGCTCAGCAGTTGAGCATTGACCTATGAGCCAAAAGATTGAGGTTCAATTCCCGGTCAGGGCACATGCCCAGGTTTGGGGCTCAATCCCCAGCAGGGGTTATGCAGGAGGCAGCTGATCAATGACTCTCCCTCACCATTGATGTTTCTATCTCTCTCTTTGAAATCAATAAAAAAAATTTTTTAAAAATATAAAAAGAAATCAGGCCCTGGCTGGTGTGGCTCAGCAGTTAAGAGTGTTGGCCCCCCTCCGCCGAAGGGTCCTGAGTTTGATTCTCAGTCAAGGGCTCATATTGGGTTGCAGGTAGATCCCCTCACCCCCGGTTGGGGTGTCTGCGGGAGGCAACCAATTGCTGTGTCTCTCTCATATCAACGTTAGATGTTTCTCTCTCTCCTTTCTCTCTGTACTCCTCCCTCCCTTCCACTCTCTCTGAAAAGCAATGGAAAAAATATCCTCNAAGGAAGTTTTAAAAATGTTTTTATTGATTCTAGAGAGAGAGAGGAAGAGAGAGGGAGAGAGGAAAAAAAATCAGTTGGCTGCCTCCAGGATCGAGCCCACAACCTGGGCATGTGCCCCAACTGGGAATCAAACAGATAACCTTTTGGTGCATGGGATGGTGCTCAAACAAGTGAGCCATACCAGCCAGGGCTCAGCAGAGGAATTTTGAAACCTATAGACAGGAGGGTATTGTTAGATGGGCCAGGTATAGAAACCCAGGTACAGAAACTACAGTACAGAGACTTACCAGGGCAGGAAGCCCTGGATGCCTAGCAAGGGGCAAAACTGGGAAAACAAGAACCTTGTCCCCAGGGTAACTTATCTTC